TGCCCTGGGGCAGGCGCTCACCTCTCTGGCCCTGGGGACATCACGATGACGCTCCCGTAGCACACCAGTGCGGAGTGAGGCCTGGGCGCGCCCGGCGTCTCGGGCGCCGCGTCTCAGCCGGGTAACAGTGAGCACCCTGCGGGCCGTGGGTCGTGCAGCATCACTCCCTCAGATTTGCCACGTGCTGGGGGCCGTGGCAGGGAGCTGCCGGAGAAGGGGCTCTCTCTGGCCCTGGGGACATCACGATGACGCTCCCGTAGCACACCAGTGCGGAGTGAGGCCTGGGCGCGCCCGGCGTCTCGGGCGCCGCGTCTCAGCCGGGTAACAGTGAGCACCCTGCGGGCCGTGGGTCGTGCAGCATCACTCCCTCAGATTTGCCACGTGCTGGGGGCCGTGGCAGGGAGCTGCCGGAGAAGGGGCTCGCTATGGTGCAACGAGACTGAGGAAATGGTCTCGAAACCGGTAATTACCGGAAATTAAAAACCCATTCACGTGAGAACATCACCGGGGCGCCTGCCCCTCCCGTGCCGGGGCTGCTCCTGCAGGCTGCTGGCCGGGAGAACCTCGTGCAACGCCGCGCCAAGGGCCCCCCCACCTCCCACGTCGCACGCCGACCCCCAGGGAGCGGCTGTTCCTGTCCGCCCTGGCTCTGCGCCGTAACGAAAGGGGCGGGCTGTGGGCGCCAGAGCAGGTCCCAGCAGGCTGAGGGTGGAATGACATGACAGTGCCAAGGGGGGTGGGTACGGGCAGCCAGTGCCCCCCCACGTATGGCATTTAGTCCATGGCAACGGAGGAGAATGAGCTCGGAGGGTCTGTGGCGAGGTCGAGAGGAGCCTGCTAGAGAGCTCCGGCATCTGTAAACCCATTAGACGCTGTGGGGCGGGGTGTCTATTTTCATTGCTGACTAGTTAGCATAGTGGCACTTCCCAGAATAGCAGGCCCAGGTTGTTACGCAGGCAACTCCCCCGGCAAATGGGACGAGATGGTCAGTGCTGGATCTAGCTCGGTATCCGCCAGCCCTGCCTGATAGTCTCCCAGGTAACTGTGCATGGGGGGTCTCCACTGAGTTCGTCAGCCCTTGCTGGCCGAGCACAGGGGCCCACGGATTGGGGAGTGGATATGCCGCCGCAGGCAGGTCACTTTTTCAAAGCGAGGGATTGTGGTGTATGAAGGCACGGACTCCGGCCGGTGCAAGCAAGAAATCGTTTTATTGCAAGATTACAACTATCTTTATACCCTCTCAAACTTCCCAAAAGTCCACATTCTGCTTTTCATAAACTGTGCTTCTTCACAGTCCCAAACACAGCATTCTCGAAGGTCGTTGACTCAGGCAGATTTTGTTATTGTTGGCTCAGGACTCTTGCTTGGTTTCGTCCTTGGGATGCCCTGTCACGTGGCCAAAGCACTATATTTGTTGATTCTCTACAAGGGATCACTGGAGAAAGGTGAACGGCGCTCCACGGCCAAGGAGAGCTGCATCGCCAATACCTGCGGTAGCGCCGGAAAATACAGAGGTGCGGGCCGCCAGTCGTTAACCTGTGGAGCCGCTGACCCAGGGCGCGGGGGGTCTCCGTCACT